ATAAATAACGATGTATTTGTACCCACATGTGTCGCTTACCTGGCGCACGACTTGTTTGTCCCGTCACTTGATATTATAAAAAAATATATGTATATATTAAAATATACCTAAATAAACTTATACCTTACTAATAAATATATACACGTTGCAGATTTTGACCGTGTTAGAAGATATTTACGCAATCCGGTTTTGAGAATAGGGTGCGACTTTGAATGTCAATGTAATTACTTTTATGATACCAAATGACTGGACGAACATACTGTGCGCCGGGTGGTAAGCGACACGCCTGTCCATAGCAATTGCAGTGCCACTCACAGCATTAAAACGCGAAGATCTGAGGGGCACAACCACTGACCTCGTCACCCTAAGACATATTTGACAAGTCCAATGTGCGCGTAATTTCACCAGTACACTTATTAACCCTCGAAAAGCAAAACTCGGTAATGCTCGCATTATTGCTTGGCGGCAGTAGTTGGTAAAGTGGCAATAGGTACTTCCCTGGACGAACTCTTCACAACGAACTCTACTGCTACTAACTGACTTACAGATGTTTAAAGTGTGTGTCCGAGGGTGATAGGTAATATCATTCCTTTAGACCATAGAATCCCAAACGTTTTGGCATACAAAAATCAACGTCCAACACCACAAAAATACTTGAAAACACGTATTTTTTGTGGTAGCACCCTCTGGATAGTATCAACCCCTTAAATGCTACCGAGGCCCCTACCCTAGGACTCTTCAGAGCCCACTGGGGGTAACAGTGACCACTTTGGGAAACTATGCTTTAAAACACGATAATGAAAATAATATATTATACACCGATAAAAGTTTATAATATAAACCTGTACAAACTTTATACAGTATTATAGTAGGTGCTACGAAGCCGGACACACCTGTTTAATTAATTGGTCGTGGTTTTGACATGGCGATGGTTATTTTACGCGTTGATAATCACTACGACAATACCCATTAACGTTTAATCTACCGTTGCCGTGACGATGCTACAATTAAACCTATTTAAGTTAGGTATCTCTAGAATTAGACATCCTTGTTTTTAATTAGGTTTCATTTTTAACCCACTTAAAAAAAGGAGAAGGTTTTGTGTGAATGTTACGCGATTATTCCGACATTTGTGAATCGATTTCGGTGATCCTTTGTTGTTTCAAAGGCTCGGTAGTGGTCCCATTCATATACGAAGAAAATTCCGTTAACCGATTTCAATATAAAAAATTAAGCAAATAAATAGATGTAATTCTACAAACTTTTCAGAGCAATTTTTTTTAGTGATAAGCAATTTTGATTAGTAAAATGCAAAAAATTGCGATATGTTTATATAAATTTATTTTAACTGAGGTGCCAAACATTTATAATTGATTCAAATGTAATAAGCTATAATAAAATCAGTAAAATATGTAAGTTGTAGTAATTCGTGAGCTCGAGTTGTTTTTTTTAGGTTAGATTAGTATTTTAGGTTAAAAATCTCTTGCAAAACTCAGTTTTTTTGTATTTTATTTTATTCTTAAATAATTCGTAATAAAAATTAAAACAATATCTCGAGTTGATGTTTATGATGTAGTAATATTATAGTCCGCGAGTTTGTTAGTATTTTTCAAATAACCTTGTAGAGACAAAATGGTATTATGGAGTAAGAGTTCAATGTACTCTCAAAAATATGGATGATACTAGCTGAACGACGTCGCATAGTATAAAGTACTTTGTTAATGTGGAAAATCTCGTGTAAAATCCGTTGAAACGAAAATATCGAAAATTAACAAATTGTGCACAAACATGTCGCCCACGCCAGTTGCCCGGTTTATTGATTAAACTGTGACTTATTTTATCAATTGCATAACGACATGACGTGATGTTTACGCTGAATGGAACTTGCCTGTAACCTAGGATAATGAATAATGACTATAGTATAAAATACATCTTGAACGAGTAACATAACGATACTGTTGAGTTCCAGAGCATTTAAATTTGTTAACTGTGCACGGTTAGAGTCATAACCAATTCTAAGAGAGCCCGATACGTTTTAGTAGGTAGCGTTAGAGCTCCATGTGTAAGAGTTCGCCCAGGGAAGTACTGCCACTTTACCTGTATCTGCCGCCAAGTAATAATGTTAGTATTACTGCTTTCCGATTTGGAAGGGTAAGGGTGCTGATTTTTACGATAAAAAGCTCTAAGTGGTTCTGCAACTGTTATGGATAAACTTGTCGCTTACGCTACGACTTGTTCGTCTCGTCACTCACTTGACTTGCATGACTCGCGACATGCCTGTCCATAGCAGTTACGGTAGGCACCACTCAGACATATTTTAAATCGCAAAGATCTGAGGGGCACTGCCATTGCGCCCATCACCCTGAGACATACTCATTGAAGAATGGCATAAGTGGATTTACGTCAAAAATGTTTATTGCTCCATTAGATACAGAAAAATATAACCCACATCCTCTCCAATTCTTGTAACTCTATCGACTAATATTGTCGATAGAGCTACAATAAAATTTTTGACGTAACTCCACTTATGCCATTCTTCCATGAGGGTTGCGATAAGTTGAAAAGTCCCATGTGCCTGTAATTTCACGAGCACCGTACCCTTCAAAAATCGAATGCAGTAATGCTCACATTACTGCTTGGCGGCAGAAATAGGTAAGATAGCAGTACTTTCCTGATAAATTTAGTAGCAGTAGAAGTCTTTGTGAAAGAGTTCTCACAAGGATCTCTACTGTTATTAAATTTATCAACTTGGAATCGGCTTGAGCTAGTCGGAAAAAGCCTTAATTTTAAAGCCTTAAAATCACATAAATCCACGAGAAAGGCAGCAATATCCATCTGTTGTGAACCTAGTTATGCATTGTGGTAGCCCGCCCTCCGTACAATTTAGAGCTTAACTCTAGACATCACAAGCGAGGTATATACCCATGTACTTGTAAGCAGCCGGCACTGCACAATGCGCTAAAGTGCAAGAATAGACAACTCCAAGAATAGACAAGGCCTTAGCCTTAGAAATTATATTTTGTAATTCATTATTCAATATCCAACCTCCAAATCGGTCAGATGTCCTAGTTAATCGTAGTTTTATTTATTTTTTTACTTCAATCGCTCCCGAAAACTTGACTACCTTGTTAATTATAATTATTAATACAAAGATGAAGAAGAAGAGAAGAAACAAACTAGTGGAGTAATTTCACAAAAATAAATTGAATATCAATTCAATAAAAATTTAATTAATACCTTGTTAATGTTTTGATATAAGGTTTCTTCTCGAAGAAGCGTACGTCTAGCAGTGGATGTGTTTTGTAGTTCCCAATTACGAATAAGCCCACCTCAAATCTCCCTGTATATGTCGTAAAATACGATTAATTAATAAATCTAGGAGGTAAACAGTGGTATGTCGCGGTGTCTTTGATTTCTTATTATAAAGGGTCTTCCAATAAGAGGTTTCATTTTGATATGTAAAAGAGTATTTTTAAGCGAAATTATCGGATGTTTATTTAGTTGTAAAAAGGAGGGTATGCCATTAATAATGGAAAACAATATCAATCAAATGGCCGCCTCGGTTGCGCTTGCAGGATCATAAGTGTGGCGTACTATATGTTTCCGGAATGAATACGAAAAAAATACTATAAATGGTCAGAAATGAGTTCATAGTTTCTCAAAATATTCTCCGATATCGTTAATACACTTTTTCATACGAATGAGCCAATTTTGAAAACATTTATGCCACTCCTCCGTGACAATCTCTGAAACATATTTTTTATACTCTTCGACAGCCTCTTCAGGTGATGAAAATCGTTGACGGCGTAACTGGTTCTTAATTTTTGGAAATAAATAAAAGTCACAAGGTGCCAGGTCGGGACTGTACCGGGATGTTTTGGGATCGTAACTGTAAATCGATATTTCGTCACCTGTTACTAAGTCCCATACCAAATTTGACGCCCCTTTTATTGCATAGCATTGCACCAAGTGTCGCGATCCGTTTTTTGAGACTTAGTCAAATTGTGTGGGATCCACCGAGAGCACAAGTTTTTCACACCCCAATGTTTGTGTAGTATTGATTGTATTTGACTCATGCCTGTACCTAAAGATGTCCGAATCTCATAGTAGTTATGTCACATGCTTATCTGTTTTGATCATACGGCGCACAGCATCGATGTTTTTGTTGTTCACAGCATTAGACGGGCGACCATCACGAAATTCGTGACTGAGATTCACACGACCGCGTTTGAATTCTGCAAACCAGCTATAAATAATCGTCTTGCATAGTGCTTCATCGCCAAAAGCAGTTTGAAGCCGAGTGAAGCTCTGCTGAGCTGTTAAATTACACTTAAAGTCGTAGAAAATCATACTACGAAAATTTTCACGAGTTAGGTAGACAACCAATTTCTAAAATGACGCCACAATGTAAAAACAAGTGATAGTCAGATGAAACAAACTGTATTCTACAGCCAAAGAGTTCCATTTTCAAATGTTGTAATTACTTTTTAAATATTGCTTATGTAAGTGGCCAGTTCCGGAAACGTTTCCGTAACCGTAACCGTAACATTTGCGGCTGTATGTCCTCGATAACTTCACGAATTCCATCTTTGAGGTCTTCAATCGATTGTGGGCCATTGGCATAGACCTTATTTTACACGTAGCCTCAAAGAAAAAAGGCCAAAGGTGTTAAATCACAAGATCTCGGTGGCCAATTGTGATCGCCTCTTCGAGAAATCACTCGGTCAGGAAATTTTTCACGCAGAAGAGCGATGGTATCCTTACTTCCTCCAGTAGGTACTTTGGTCATATAATGCGTAATGATAAATACGACCTACTCCGACTAATTATGCAAGGAAAGATACAGAGAAAGCGACCACTTGGAAGAAGACGTAGGGGACGGACGGGCAAAACGAATTGGTCGGGCAAGAAGAATTTTATGCCTAATTTTGTTCGTAATTGCAAGAAAGAGATAGAAATAGGATCACACGATCGGCCATTGTTTACTTGACGCGACCAGTAGCCCACACGCCGCGGAATGTGATTGACGCCGGTCTAGTGAGATAAAATCATTTTTGCTAAAAAAACATCGATTTTTCAAGGTAACTATATTTCCTTTTACTTTATTTTTATAAGACTTTAGTACTTTGTCTATTTTTATCTAAAAGTATTGCTTAGTGAAGTAAACATTCATATAAAATTCCACTTAGTATTTATTAATTTCTATATTTTTATGTGTGTTGTTTAAAATTATGTACCCGGCGGGCAAGAAGAAACCGGGCAAAACGGATACTGTCCGTTTTGCCCTCTCCATTTTCTATTACTTTTTTTAAATAGTTCAGAGTTTAATATGGAGACATTTAAGGGTTATAGACTCAATGGTATGTTTTAACATAGCATTGGGCTTAACATTTTCTTATAATAAGAGATTTGTATTTAATTTATCAATCAACTTGTTTAAGATGGTGTACAAGTACAAGCGCAAGACTGATCGCGCCTCATGGTCAGAAGAAAACTTGAAGAAAGCTATGCTTGAGGCTCAAATATCTTCAATTACTGCTTCAAGTAAGAAATACGGTATTCCGTATGCTACTTTATATAGACATTTGCAGAAGGGTTCAGCTAAAAAGAAGCTTGGCCGATTCGAAACTATTTTCACGCCCAAGGAAGAAGAAGATCTTGTAGCTTATGTTAAGAAAATGGATTCTATCTTCTACGGCTTGACACGAGTAGAATTTCTTAGAATAGTTGGAGAATTTGCTAAAAAGATTGGCAAAGAGGGTGTTTTCACTGACAATATAGCGGGGAAAGGTTGGTTTCATAAATTTAGAGCTCGACATCCTGAGTTGGTACTACGAACGCCAGAACCTACTTCTATAGCTAGAGTTAAAGGTTTCAACCGTGTTGCTGTGGAAAGATTTTACTCTCTTTTGGAAGAAACAATAGAGAAACACAATATTATCCCTGATATGATGTATAATGTTGACGAGACTGGAGTGACCACAACAAACCACCGAAGGTTTTGTCAATTTCTGGCAAAAAGCAAGTTGGGGTTGTCTCCAGCAAGGAACGAGGAGTGCTGACAACAATTATATGTTGCTGCAGCCCTACGGGAACTTTTATTCCACCTTTTTTCATTTTTAAACGTAAGAAATTTGACCAAAGACTACTTGATGGTGCTCAACCAGGTTCAGAAGCAACAATCACCGATAGCGGATGGGTCAACACTGAAAAGTTTTTAAGCTGGCTTCATATTTTTGTTGAAAAAGTCCGTCCCACTGAAGAACGAAAAGCCTTGTTATTGTTTGACAATCACGAGTCCCATAAGAGCTACGCAGTCTTGGATTATGCGTCAAATAACAACGTGATCTTCCTTTCAATCCCGCCGCACACCTCACATCGACTTCAGCCCCTGGACGTGGCAGTCTATGGACCAATCAAAAAATATTTTGAAATGGAAGTGAATACCTTTCAAAAGGCACATTTAGGACGAATCATAAATCAATATGATGTTGCAAAACTATTCACAAACGCATATTTGAAAGGCGCGACACCTGCAAGTGCCATTAGCGGCTTTCGTGCCAGTGGCATATATCCATTCAATAAGCAAGCAATCGGAGAAGAACACTTTGCGCCATCAGAAATATATCAACTTGCTGAACAACCTGGTACTGAAACTTTACCAGAAAATATTGTTCAAAGAGAAGATGTTCCCGTAAGCGAACCGCCCAGCCCTCTTTTTTTAAATCAGGTTGAGGTTTCTAAGGAACCAGTTCATGGTAACATTGTCATGCAAATCACAGAGCAACCCAATTCTCTATCTCGAAAGAATCTTGAGCCGGTCCAAGTAAAAATAAACAAAGATGTAGAAGACAAGGATAAACCTAGAGATTCTGCTTCAAAATGTATTGAGCCTAATGAAACTGACGATTTGGAAGTTCAAAACAATAGTAATATTTCAAATATTGATATCCTGCGAGAAATAAGGCCTATACCTAAAGAAATTAACAAAAGAAACATAAAAGGTCGGAAGCCACAGAGAGCAGAAGTTCTTACTAGCACACCGATAAAATTAGAACAGAAGAAAAGACAAGACGCCGTTTCAGTGAAAAAGAAGGTCCAATTTGATGATAATTCTAAAGCTGGTTCGTCTAACGTCAAGAAGAAAAAGAAGAAAAATGAAGACAAAGAAAATACCAAAGAATACCGGTGCACAGTTTGTCAAGAGCTATATATTGATCCTCCAGATGAGGACTGGATACGCTGTGACACTTGTTATAAATGGACACACGAGGCCTGCTCGTCATATTTGGGGTTTGGGTCCTATTTTTGTGACGATTGTTTTGATTAATATCCTTAATTCGTTTTGGGGCGTTTTGGGGGCTCCACCTACATCTTGGAGCCCAAGCTAACCTCACCTGCAAGTGGTGCGCCTGCTGATAGACGGACGAGGCTCTAGCGAGGGGTTTTCCCTTTCGGGGGTTGGGAGGTCAGACGGCAGTCGCTCCCGTAAAAACCAACACCGCCACATCAACTTATGGAAGTCAACAGAAGGATATGGCATAGGGATAGGGCGCCGCCGCAAAACGGCGCGCAGGAGCCTCGCCCGACTTCTGTGGCAAGTGGACTAGGGCTACCGTGTGAAGGGTGGGCACGGTTAAAGAGGCGAGCCCCTACCCATCACAGGAAGCTCCGCTTTGCCACGTGGAACATTGGCACGCTGACTGGACGCGCGAGGGAGCTAGCAGACGTGCTTTCCAGGCGGAGGGTCGCCGTGGCGTTCCTGCAGGAGACTCGGTGGAAAGGCAGCAGATCCCGGCTCATTGGGAATGGCTACAAGCTGATCTACACCGGTGCTCCTCGGGGCGTGAACGGGGTGGCCGTGGTGCTCTCCGAGGAGTTTCACGATCACGTCCTGGAAGTGAAACGCTTTAGCGACCGGCTTATGGTAGTGAGGGTGCTTATCGAAGGGGTCGTGACCCACTTGATAGGCGCCTACGCACCTCAGGCCGGTTGCAGCGACACGGACAGGGCGAGGTTCTGGGATCAACTCGGGGAAGTGCTGAGTGCCATTCCTTTGTCTCAGGCAGTCGTCTTGGGTGGCGACCTGAACGGTCATGTGGGTGAGGCGTGTGAAGGGTTCGAGCGGATCCACGGTGGCTACGGGTACGGCAGTCGCAACGCGGAGGGAGGAGACATCCTCACAACGTGTGCGGCGGCCGATCTCGCCATCGTGAACACGTTCTTTAAAAAGAACCCCGAGCATTTAATCACCTATAAGAGCGGCGGACACGCCACCCAAATCGATTTCCTACTCACCAGGAGACACCATATCAGCAAAGTGGCCAACTGCAAGGTCATACCAGGTGAGAGTCTCACTGCGCAACACCGTCTTCTTGTCATGGATCTCTGCGTAAAGCCGGCCGACAAGCCCGCTGAGCGCTGCCGACGCCAAATCAGATGGTGGCGGCTTGATAGTACCACGTCCCAGGAGTTCATCTCAGCGATCGGCGATAAATGCGCCGACACTGAAGGTGATCTAGTCCAGAACCACTGGGACAACATTCAGGCTGCCATATCTGAGGCGGCGAAAGCGGTGCTGGGCTTGTCCAAGGGTGGTCGCAAATGTGACAAAGAAACTTGGTGGTGGAACGACACAGTCCAGAGGGAGGTGAGGGTGAAGAAAGCCCTCTTCAAAACGTGGCAAGCGTCCGAATCTTCTGAAGACCGCGACGCATATAGGGATGCCAAACGTGCCGCTAAGAAAGCTGTAGCCAGAGCCAGACGGGACCACTTGCAGCCGTTGTATGACAAGTTGGAATCGTCTGAGGGGCAGAAGCTTATCTTTAAGCTGGCACGTTCGAGGGTCTTAGCGGCACAAGATATTTCCAAGTGTCGCTGCATTAAAGACCCTCATGGCAACCTTATATGCGAGGTCGACGCGGTGAAGGAGAGATGGCGCTCATATTTCCACGAGCTGCTGAATCAGCAGCAAAGAGAGGTGCAGCCACCGGTCCTCCCTCCGAATCAGGGACTAGTGCGACCGGTAACGCCTGAGGAAGTCCACTTAGCTCTTCGTCGCATGAAGAATCGGAAAGCTGTCGGAGCCGATGGGGTTCCCATCGAGGCCTGGAAGGCAATGGGTCCCCGTGGTGTGGGCATCCTTACCGGCCTCTTTAATCGCGTGCTCCTCACCGGTAAAATCCCTAACCAATGGAGACTGAGTATTATCACTCCAGTCTTCAAAGGGAAGGGATCGGTGCAGGAGTGTGGCGATTATCGGGGCATAAAGGTCATGTCCCACACCATGAAGCTCTTCGAGCGTATAATAGACTCTCGGATCCGACAGGAGAGTGCTGTCTCGGAGGGTCAATATGGGTTTCGGCCTGGTCTTGGGACCATGGATCCTGTTTTTGCCCTAAGGGTCATCATGGAGAAATACAGATTGAAGAATACGCCTCTGCATTTCATGTTTCTTGACATGCAGAAGGCCTTCGACTGTATCCCCCGTGTAATGATCTGGTGGGCACTGAGATCCAAAGGGGTACCAGAAGCTTATATTGACATCATCCGAGACATGTACCGCGATTCCGAATCCATGGTTAGGACTGCTGTTGGTGACACTAAACCCTTCCCTGTCACAGTCGGAGTTCACCAGGGCTCAGTTCTCAGTCCCTATCTGTTCAGCGTGATATTAGACGAGGTCTCAAGCTCCATCCGAGACACGCATGAGCAACCCCCGTGGATGCTTATGTACGCTGACGATATCGCGCTGGCGGATGCGGATAGAGGGAGACTGGTACGACGAGTGAATGTGTGGAAGGAGTCGCTTGAGAACGGCGGTTTGAGACTAAATGTGGCGAAGACTGAGTACATGGTCTGCAACGCTACAGATCCCCTACCCGTACGCATAGGCGAAGACGCGGTCGAGCCTACGGGCCAGTTTAAATACTTGGGATCTGTACTTAGCGCGTCCGGAGACATCGACTGCGACGTCAGAGCCCGAATCGCAGCCGCTTGGGCAAAGTGGCGTGAGGTGACTGGTGTAATTTGTGACCCCAAGATGCCGGTTAAGCTGAAAGGACAGGTCTATAAATCCATCATTAGGCCTGTCCTTTTATATGGCAGTGAAACGTGGCCCGTACTTGAGCGTCATAAGCAGGAGCTGCGTGTCACGGAAATGAAGATGCTGCGCTGGATGTGTGGAGTTTCACGGAAAGACCGTGTCAGAAACTCCCGCATCCGCGGCAGCCTTCATGTCCGTGACATTGCAGATAAACTGCAAGAAAGCCGCCTACGTTGGTACGGCCACATCTTACGGAAACCGGCTTGCTACGTGGGAAACAAATGTCTGGCTATGCCACCTCCGCCGGGCCCCGGTAGAAGGGGCAGACCCAAGAAGTGCTGGCTTGACGTCGCCAAGGGTGATATGCGTGCCAATGGTCTCACCACTAAGGATGCCGAAGACCGTGCAAAGTGGAGGAGAAAGAGTAGGAAAGCGGACCCCGGGCTCCGCAGCAACCCTGCTGAGGACGCAACCGGGACAACGCTAAGATGAGAGAGAGGACCGGTGCACAGTTTGTCAAGAGCTATATATTGATCCTCCAGATGAGGACTGGATACGCTGTGACACTTGTTATAAATGGACACACGAGGCCTGCTCGTCATATTTGGGGTTTGGGTCCTATTTTTGTGACGATTGTTTTGATTAATATCCTTAATTCGTTTTGCCTGACTGTGAATCTTTTTTGCCCGCCCTACGCGGGCAAAACGGATAATGGCAAGTTTTAAAAAAAATGTGAAAATAAGTCAAAAATCATTGCAAAATTTATATTTATGTTTTCTTTAAAGGAAAAATAACAATTGTAGTTCCTAATGACATAATGACTGATTATAATATTTGTTTTTTTTATGATAAACTTAGGTAATTCGTCTTGCCCGCCCTTCCCCTACTTCGTGGCTTAAGAATCTCCGGACATGGTTCAACCTGAGCACTAGATCCTCGTTCCGTGCAGTTGTGTCTAAAATGCAGATAGTCCTAATGGCAGCCGACCTCCAGTAGGAGATAGCACCTCAAGAAGAAGAAAAAGCTAAAGCTATTGTTTATAATGTTATCTACTAATATAGTCCTGAGAGGTTGTTAGTATTTCAAATAACCATGTATATTTTTTGTCGTAAAACCATGTATTGTGTAGAATTTTACTTTCAATTCCCAATCCCTACACATTTGTAAATTTAAAAGAGTGAGCAGCTGAGATCATAACCTCAAAAAATTTAAATCATTCTGTCGTTCAATTTGAGTGTATGCAACGCGTTCCATAAAATTCGCACCCTTGGTGTAATTAGGCCACATCTGCAAAATTACAACTTTTAAGGAGAGAGCGTTATGCTTAAATGGAGAGTTCAATCTATTTTATTTTCGTAATATACATTTAATGTACAATAAAAGCTTAAATAGTAGAAAGTAAAACTCGGATTAATTTATATGAATAAAATTGGGTCCCCGCGGCAAGGTGCCCAAGATGGTGGCAGCTTTCCACCTTTGCATGGCTATGCTAATGCATTGGGCAGGGTAGCTGCCGGCTCTTGGGTTTCCCAGACAGTCTATTAATTCACACGTTTTTCGAGGTCTGTGAACCTTCTTCCATGTGCAGGTTTCATCACAATGTTTTTCTTCACCGAAAAACGATTTAAAATTATATTAAATTTCTCTCATAAATTCCGAGAAACTCCGAGGTGCGATTTCGGATTCGAACCCTCGACCTCTGCTTGAGAGGAGATAGGTCTACCACGGCTACCACGCTTATCAAAACGTATGATTATGTGGCTTTATTAAACTAAGAGCACGAAATAATCTGCGTGAACAAAAACAAACTTAAATAAAGGATGAAAAGGGATTAGTTTGTGATGATAAATATCAAACAACACGCTATTTATTTGTAACGATGAACGTTTTTAATTGGTAATAGCGTTTTCAACATTTGTTTTAATTTAGCTCATCAAAACAGACTGAATAAGAGCGTGAGATCCGTACACTGAGTTTGTT